CATCTTCTACTGCGATTTCTTCTACCTCTACGTCACAAAAGGTGAGTAAGAACACGATCACTCGCTGCGACGCTACAGGGCCGAGTCTAGGTGTGATCCATTTACGTTGGCAGGACGCCACGCCAGAATTATGTTTGAGTAATCATCCGATATTTGCAGCGTTATTATTAGGGTTATCGGCCTTGCCTGTTTTACTGCACTTTCTGTTCTGCTGATATAAAACAGCATGCAGAAGTAATTTGCAATGAAATCTAGCACACAGCTATGCTCTGTGACTGAAAGAGAGCTTCTGCTCAGATTGTTTACCTGTCGAGGGAGGATATGTATCCTTAATGCCAGCTGCTGTAGGTTGCTCTAAAGTGTTTGCTCACCTGCTAAACAAAGGAGTGGGGGAAGCTAAAAAAACACTCCCTCACCCTCGCTGTGTTCTCACTTTTTTCTTTCTCGTCCACCTTCCTTCAGTGCTTCGGGGAAGAGGAAAGATGACCCTGCCAATGCCGGTTTAAAACGGACCCCTCCACCACAGCCCTCCACCCTTCTGTGCCTGCCACGTATCGGCATCTGAGAGTAGATCCTTCAGCTGTATTTGTACTTAATGATATAACTGGTCTGTGATTGTAGTTTAGACCATTTTTTTCTTTCTTCTTTTTTTGTCTGATCGGTTCTTTGGGTTTAAGTCTGTACATTTGCAGGATGGTTGTTTTATTAGTCCATAAGATGCAGGTGCGACACTGGAAGTGTGTCCCTAATATGCACCAGGCAAGTGAGCAACAGCAGTACAGAAACAGTATTTGTGCACGCTTGTGGGTTTTTTGTTTTTTGTTTTTCTTTGGAAGCTGAGGGTGACTGTGACTCTGGAGGTGCTTACATTACATCCTGAACAATCAAGAGTATTTTGAGCACAAAAATGTAGCTGCAATGTTTTTTGTACAGCACTCAGGTGGACTACACGTAGTTCTCTTTCAGGATAAATCCTTCACATTTCACATAGTCTTTAAAAATATGGTAGTGTTTGTACATTTGTGCTCCCCGATCTTTTTACGACGTGTTGTCCTTTTTCACTCTGTGCTGTTAGACACTCCCTGAATAGGTCACTGCGTTGTATGCAAACCATTTCCTTTCCTCACTGCCAGCTGCAATCTGATGAATCCCTTCGTCATCTTTTGTGTGTCAGTGCATTTGTACAGAAGAGGAAAAAGGGCTAAAATATGTTGTCACTTGTTATATGAAGCCAAAGACGGATAAGGTAACTGCTGCAATGTTTTAAACCGTTCTTCTTATTTTTAAATCTTCCTGTGTTGTTACCTTAACCAAATCACGCCATTGTGTCGGGGGTGGAAATGATGGGAAAATTGTTTTTTTAATGTATTGTATCTGTGTAGCGAACTAACCAATTTTTGACAAATACAAATGTGTGAAGTCATAATAAGATGAACTGGACTTTTTTTTTTGTGTGACTTTATTGTGCCGTGAGTTCGTATTTCACAGTATAGTCTAAGAGTGCGTGTGTGGTGCGATTGTGGTGTTGAACAATAGAAACACAATCATAGTTAAGTGATGCATCTGTAGGTTCTCATTCATCCAGGTCATGGTGGAGCTTGAGAAAATGGCAGCTTGGCTTTTTTAGGTCTTTGAAGATGCTTCGCCTCTCATCCAGGAGGCTTTTTCATCCCTAGAGCACCTGGTGGATGGTCTCGGGCTATAAACCCCTGGTAGGGATTTGACCCCTTCTCTAGAGAAACATTTTGGATGAGAAGCGAAATGTCTTCAAAACCTAAAGAAGTCCAGCTGGCCTTACATCAAGTGACTTGTCCTCACCACGCAGGCTTCGTTGTGTCCTGTCTCTTTGATTTACCTTTCAGCGCAGTAAAGTTTTTCTGTGTTTGTATAGCACCTTGCTTCCTTCTCTCACGGCCCCTCCCACTGCTTTCGCAGCCGACCTGACAGAGAGCGGAGACGCAGCCAGAGCTGCCACTTTCTCCACCACCTTAGCCTTCTTCACAGCTTTCCCTTTCCCCTTGTCCTTTCCCATGATCCCTGCCCCCTCCGCAGCACCTTTCCCCAGGGCGGTCACCAGCTCGCACCAGAAAAGCCTCTCCGCTCTCTTCCGGGCCTCCTCTTCCTCCCTTCTCCTCTCCTCATCCTCCCACTTCTTTTCCAATCTTGGCAGCTGCCCCTCTGTGACCTCAGCCTCTGTCTGAATAGACTCCACCACGTGCCCAGCTTCACCCAGAATCCTCTCATGTGCCTCCCTTATGGCACCTTCAGCCTCCTTCAGCATCTCATCGCTGTAGCAACCGCCTCCATTCTTAGCCACAATTTGGTCCACCTTCTCCAAAAGTTGCATGACTTGATGTGAACATTCATCTGTTTCCTCCTGCCTGCTGTTATCAAAGACGTGATATCCTCCATGGCAACTGCTGACAAACTCAGACAGATCCTGGCTCTGCTCTAGAAAGTCCTCCAGGCGTTTCCCCTTCAGCTGGTCACCACAGGTGAACAGCACCATCGTAAACCTCATTACTCCAGGCCCAAATCTAGCTTTGATCCACTCAAAGGCCTCCCTCTCCTCATGGGTGAACCTGCCGAGCTGCAGTGTCACCAAGAAGGCGTGGGGTCCCGGAGAAGAGAAACCAACACACTGTCCCACCTCTGCCATAACCTCCTGAGAAGACAGGTGTGTGTGGAAGAGCCCGGGAGTGTCAATGACGGAGATACTCCGCCTTCCCACTATCCCGCTCTGTTTCTTGCATCGTGCAGTTACAGAACAGGGGGACACGTCCACCAGGAACGCAGACCTTCCCAGGATGGTGTTGCCAGAGGAGCTTCTGCCTGTCCCGGTCCGGCCCAGCAGAACGATCCTCAGAGATTCAGCCTCTGATGTGGGGGCTGATGCTTCACTGACTGCCAAACAGAGAGTCATATGTGTGTCATAATTACCTTTGACATTAATATAATGCATGCACATCCAGGCAACATATATAATATTAAATCATGTAGGCACATTTACATTTCAAAGGGTAAGTGATTTGATCGTTCACAGCTTGCTAATCCAAAGTAATGCAACACAAGTGTAATGGCCATACCTTCATGTGACGCAGCACTTTCAGATGACGACATTCTGATGGAGAAACTGTAGTGAAGCCTTCAAAATGATTTTTTAAAAATAGCTGAAATCCTGGAGAAAGACAGAGACTGGCTTTGTCTGAGATACGCTCGTGTTTCTAGATCATTTGACCGCAGAGTGCTTCAATGCAGCTGCAATCTATGGTGGAGCAGAGAGGCGCTGCTTGCACACTGTCACCCTGACGCACAGTGTAACCAAACCCACAAAAAATGATAACACGAGGGATACGTGTTAGCTTGCAGTGAAAACTGCAGAAAAGTGTTATTAACGGAGCTCTGTGACAATACGATGGCCAACACGAGTGATAAATAATAATTCGATCTTTTGATACAAATTTAATGCCGTTGTTTCAAACTGTGACCACTAGATGGCAGTGAATCCTCACATAATGAACGCATCAACGTCAACTTCACCAAAAAGACAGAAATACTATTTCCGTCTGTTAACAATTATTAGAATATCCTAACGTAACGAAACTAACAAAAAGCCTTTAGTTCTTCAGTTCAGGGCTAATGGTGTTTTAAGTTATCCTCACCAGTCTCCAGACCAAAGTCACACTTTTGGCAGACTCCAAACATTTTTATTAATAATAGAAACATTAAAGAAAAATGTTAAAACTGGGAGAATTAACCATATTAAGAAAAATATTAGCTCATTTTGAGTTTGGTGGCAGCAACATGTCTCAAAAAAATTGGGACAGGGCCATGTTCCTTATCGTGTAGCATTTCAGCACTAGTCTGTAAACATCTGGAAAGTGAGGAGACCAGCTGTTTCCCCCTTTTTGTCTGATATGTGAGTCTAGCTGTTCTACAGTCCTGGGTCTTCTTTGTCATATGTTTTGTTTCATCAGCATGTTCAGCACCAGAGTCTTCTTTTACAAAGATGTTATAATAGATGCAGTATGTAGTTTAGGATTGTCCATATGCAAGGCCTTCCCAACAAAACATGTCATCTGGATGGGACCATATGGTGCTTTTACAGATGTGCAAGCTGATGTACCATGATACAATCAGAGATGCAGGCTTTGAACTGAGTGCTGATGACAAGTAGGATGGTCCTTTCTTTTCAGTCCAGATGTGGTAGTCCATGTTCACCCCCCAAAAAATAAAAATGTTGATTTATCTGACTGCAGAACAGTTTTTTTTACTTTGCCTCAGTCTATTTTAGATCTTTGGCCCCAAGAAGACAGTGTTTCTGAATCATGTTCACATATGGCTTCTTCTTTGAATAAAGTAACCTGCATTAGTGGATGCCATGATGAACTATGTTCACAGACTTCTGTGAACTTCAGACTTCTGACTTCTGGACACGTCTCTGAGCTCATGCAGTGATTTCCATGACAGAAACATCCCTGTTTCTAATGCAGTGCCGCCCGAGTGTCCAAAGATCACAGAGATCTTCTACTGATTCTCAGCCTTGTCCCTTGAGCAGATTTTTCTCCAGATTCTCTGAAACTTTTTATTTTATGTGCTGTTATTATGAGAACATTCAGAGTTTTCACAGTTTTACACTGAGGAACATTATTCTGAAATTATTCGAACCTCTGCCCCCCAAAGGTGCTCTTAGATGCGAAATGCTCCTCCAGCTGTTTCTTACTATGACTTCATTTTCCAGTCTTTTGTTGCCTCCGCCCAACTTTTTGCTACATATTGCTGCCACCAAATTCAAAAGTGCCACACTTTTTTCTGAAAATGCTCAGTTTAAACACTTATATGTGTTTAATAGGTTTTCTCTGTTTAACTGTGAGTGAAATATGGGCCAGGAAGTTGCAAATCTTTGCATTGTTTTTATTTACATTTTAAACTACCTTTTTGGACGTGGAGCTTTGGAAAAGATCTGAAACTCTGAACATTTTGATTTAATTTTGATTTATTTGAAATGGACTGTGCTTATTCACAAACAGCAAAATAACTAAATAAGCCAGAGTTAGCCCTGTGGTGTCAAATTTCCTCCCTTGTCTTTTGACACTTAAAGAGAAACCTAAACTGCAGGCCACAGATTGCACAGTAAATACATGACACCAAAACAGTAGCAATGAAGTCATTTAGATGAGCTGAGATGAGTTAAGAGCGGCCTATTTATTGAAACAAAAGATATTTCAGTAACTACTGTGAGCCCTGCTGTGATAAACACAACAAACTGCAGATCTGAGTGTGACAGGATAAATAGTTTTGATTGTTTTCACTTTACTTAATATTTCTCTTATTATTCATTATTGCATTGCATCTATGTTCCAGCCAGTTGTAAACATCAGAAAAGCATGAATCGAATGCCAAAACTCGCATATTAGCCACAAATTGAAGAGAGTTTTAATCATTTATGACCACTAGGTGTCAGTAAACAGCCATCTATGGTCCATCATCTTCAGAACAAACACCAGTTCACTCTTCTCAGTCTTCCATCTAAAAGTGCATCAAGTTACCAAAGGGGGCAGATTCCCCTCTGTATGGTCAGGTCAACCTGATATGACTTTTCACCATCCCAACACTTTTCACCTCCTCACACACAGACTGAGCATTTAAAGCACAAGATCAATGATGTGCTCTAACTGATGTATGGTGACCAAGTTTCCTCTGATACACATATTAAATACCATAAATGCTTTCCCATTAAATTACACAGGGGGAAAAAACTTCTGCTTTGATCCCACCTGTAACTATTCAAAGTTTGTCAGAGCCGGCTCTATCTTAATAAGAATTTGAACATCACGCTGCTGTAGTCCATTATCTGCTCTTTTAAGACGAATGATTTCGACACATCAGTGGGGGGACATTCTCAGCAGATCGCTCCACTAGATTGTATTGTTAAACCAAATACCGTTCAAAGCTGATGTTTCTACGCCTTCGTTTTATCATAAAGGGATGGGGGTGCGATTAAAATACCAAGCTGCTTATCTCAAGTCAAACTCCGCGCTCCTCTTTGTTTAATTAACAATCTGTGTAAGTGCACCATCTTCCAGCATCAAACGGGCGCTTGAAGTCATTCCGAGTGATTTGAAATTGCATTAAACTATGATGGATTTCCAGCCTTAACAAGTACAGAGTGAGATAACATGTCAAACAAGCAGGAGTGCATTAGCAGCTGTCAGAGAGTGCAGGGGCTTTTGAAATCAGACATGCAGGCATTGATTTTCTCCTAGAAGTGAGGACATGTAGGAGATACAAACGGCCTCTAAATTCATTTATCTGGATGTTTGGGATGTTTAGATGTCATTTCATTAATAGTACATTCATTACTACAGCTCGTTTATGAGGTCGCACGCTGATTCAGCCTCTCAAGGCTGGCTAACCGACTCAAGCATTTGTATTTTATGCCTAACATATTGCACTTCCATAATAGTATTAACTGTGGCAACGCACAAAGAAGTTTAATTTGAAAAAGCGTCTCATTAAAATGGCCATATACTGACTTTCACTGAAAGACGCCGAGCTGAAAGGCAAGACCATTATATCCTATTGTGTTCTTACATTCTAATATGCTTTCAGCGCTCTCGTTCAGTTTGCCTCTCTGTGGTAAATAAACCAGAGAAACCGCTTCGAACCAAACCAAACGCAGCCGTAATTATTCAGTTACACATGCAAGTATGACAGCTTTTCTTAATCTGCCAAGCAAATGCTTCCATTTGACTGAATTGTGGGAATTTAATGGGTTTGTTTACAGCTCCGACAAGCAGCAGCGTGGATGTTTTTGTGCTGTAGTGAATAATGGGTTTTCAAGTCATAACAGCAACAATATAGCTTAATTTTTCCACCTAACAAGGTTAAATGGACTCTATATTAGAAAAGATAAACTAAAGCCAAAGAAATGTGCAAAAAAAAAGGGAAAAAATCCACACAGCCTCCTTTTCATTTCCCGTATTTTCCATTATCTTGGGTGTGACAAGTGTGCGATATGAGCTTGTATCTGCCTGTCATTTAAAACACTGATTTAAGATCAGGAAACAAGGAGAATGTCTAAGTCACAGGGTCAAATTTGGATTTTCTGCATGTAAATTCACACTAAAGTCTGAAGGATCCAGGTGTTTAAGCTGACATCAGGATGAGCTGTTAGAGGGTCTCTCCCACTCCACTTGATTCCTTACTGGAAGACACGCCCCCTTACTGGGAAGCTTCTGAGTCTCTGCTTCGTCTTGAGGAACGTCTGTGGAAACAGGCGCATCACCGTCTGTGCCATTCACCGTGCCATAAGAGGCAGGCGTGTATTGTTCTTGTGACAACGGGCAGCTGCTTCCATCCACTGGGTCTGAATTCCCAAACTCAAAGATGGAGTTTCTTTCACCAATGTCCAGTCCAAAGCTCTCTAGCATGTCCATTACTGATGGCGTGGATGGGCATGAGGGGTTCTCCTCCTCAATGAGACTCAGCGTTGGCAAGATGTCCACCAACTCTGCCATCTCCATCGGCCGGATTACTTCAGTGATGCTGGAAGGTAAGTCCTGTTCTCTGCTGTAGGACTCCTGTGTGTCCAAAGTTGGATAGTCCACTTCCAGCTGTGCAACAGCAGCAGGCTTCAATCCAGACTCCATTAAAGCACTTCCAGATCCCAAATCTGACTGGCCAGAACTTGCCAAGTCTGCAGGCAACTGAGTGGTGATGTCTACAGGGTACCCTCCCTTCACGACACCCTCCATCAACACCAGCGCAGCCTCTGCAGGGATAGCTGGAGCTGAGACCTCAGCGGTGACGATGTTTGGTGGAGTCGCACTGCCCGAATTCTCTGAAAGAGAAGCAAGAAGAAAATAAGGTCGAGAAAGAGAAAGTATTTATCTTTGTTTTAAAGCATCATTTGCTCTACAAATTACACTTAATTCTTGTAACAGCAGTTATTATGACAGTGCAATGGTAACAGTTCATTGTAATATTCAATTTTCCCTCAAGTGTTTTGACTAGCAGACATATTTTCTGTTTTGCCAAGTATAAATATCCGCAACTGCTTTCTGCTGCTGCTTTTCAGATTGATCGAATAAGATTTAAACATATAATTAATCTTATAAATAAAATGATCTGGATCAGGTGACCCTGAATCCTCCTTTAGTTAGGCTGCTAGGGCTTCCCGTGATGCTCTGAATTTGTCTTCTTCACTCACATTTTTTCACTCACTATGTGTTTATACACCACTCAACATTCAATCATTGGTTATCATCAATCTCAGGCTCTCTTCCACAGCAGGTCTTTGAAGGCAGTTGATCTATCCAGTCATTTGTCACAACTTTTACATTTAACATGCAACTCTAAAGGCCATTATAGGGGAAAGTCAACAGATTTTAAAATTATGTAAATAAGTAATTAAATTCATGTTAAATAATGTTTTTGTGTATTCAGTGCTACATGTGTACACTAGCATGACTGCAGTACCTGTAATGGCTCTCTGTGCTAATCGATGGGGCCATGACAATCGGACAGTCAAACTCTCCTCTTCCTCACCATCAGGACATGGTGGTGGGTCTCCTCCCATCACCAGGCCTAAAGGCACCGCCCCCACCCACTGCTTGGACCGAACACACTGTAGACAGTCCATAATCCAGCGGGCATCCCTCCAGACCACATCCAGACGCTAATGAAACATAAAAAACAGGCAGTAGAGACAGTACCGCGTTTGTCTCTAATTCACTTTCATTATGAAATCTTTACTTTACTTTTTAAAATATAATTAAGTCAACTCAAATGTGGATTTGGCAACAGTGGAAGCAAATATAAACCACGTGTCACAGGATCTCACCTGTGAAAGCCCACTGATGTGGTTCAGCCGCTCCCGGGCTTCCTGCACCTCTTTGGTCTCCAGCGCTTCCCGTAGAGCCTGCTGGGCAAGGTGAGTGTCCAGCTCCAGCCTTACCCAGGCCTGACAGTACTGTGAGAGGAAATCCCGCTCATATGTCCAGAAGTGAACTGGGTGACAAGCCAGAGAGGAGAGGAAAGACAAATGACTTCATCAAAGCCAGGAGGAAAAAGCCACAGAATTTATCAGTCCACTCTACTCTAGCTTTAATGAGAGGAGAACAGTGAACTGCATTAGACATTGTGCCTCAGTGTGCTTTCTGCATATCTTTGCAGGGATTTATTTAACATTTAAAACTGTAGTCTCATTTAGACAGTATGTGTCAGTCTAGCTCGCCGTTTCTGGGTCCCTTTTCTCATCACTGAAACACTCTGCGCTACCATTGTTAAATAGATCCACTGGATATATAGTTTTCCACTTACCCAGCTCAAAGATCTGCAGAGGCATGGTGAGGCCGGGCTCCTTGATCCCCACCAGAGGCCAGTAACTGGAGCTGAAGTCCTCACTGGGAGGCAGCAGCAGCAGCATTGACAGGTTATCCCCAAACTGAAGCAACTCCTGGGTGTACACGCCGTACTGATACGCCTGTGAGAAACACAATTATTCAAATACAGATGAGAAACAGAAAATCCTTCCGCTGGATCAAGAGCTAGTGCTGATAAAACAACATAAAGCGGACAAAGAAAATCAGTTTAAAAGATTATTTCTCTTCACAATAGTCTGACAGAGAATTTCAGGTGTTTCAGGTAAATATGAGGTGGCTGGAAAGTAGTGTTTACCCTGTAGAGGGGGATGTTGAGCTTCGTCAGGAGATGTGTGACTGCTGCTCTCAGAGACCTGACGAATTCCTCCATACTGCTGCTCTCCATCGTGCTCTCGTCCTCAGCGTCCAACAGACTCTGAACACCGCCATTGGCTGCAGTGTAAACATGACTCTGAAGCCACGTCCACTCCTCTCTGCCACACAGTAAAAACACAGTCAACAAAACGGGCATAATAAGTAAGGAGAGAGGTCCAAAAACAATCCAGTATCACTGCTTGTTGAAGCCCTAACATTTGTATAGATACTGCACTTGTTTGTGCAGATCATTTAAAATAGTATATCTTTTTCGACGGTTGTTTTCCAGATAAAGTTGTAAAAATACTGCAATAACCTGATGAAGGTCAACATAGTCTATCAAGAGACTGACACAGATATCACCTGGTCAAGTTACCTTACCTGGTCACGTGCGCGTTGTGCCGAACCCGTGTGTGGCAGAGTAAACTGGGCAACCTCTGAGGCACCAGCACCCTGATCTGTTCCACCGAGCTACACAGTTTCAGGATGCCCACATACAGACCCGGCTGGGCGCACTGGAGGCTGTGCCTGTGAAAGGACAGCTTCTCCTGGAGAACAGAGACAAAGAGATACGGTGCAAAAGAGAGAGAAATGTTAAGATCTGTTAATAGGATGTAAAGCTTATGAGACTTATTTCCCCCTGCCTCACTATGTGTTGTTAACTAATTCAGTTTGGGGATCCCAAATTAATTTCAGCGCTTTTTCAGGGTTAGCAGCACAGGAGGTAAACTAGTGGCTCAGTAAAACTCAGCGCCCAATGCGCTATTGTTGAAAGCCGCTGCTGGGCGCAACTGTTTTCCTCTCCTCACCTTGAGCTGCTCAGCGAGCATGTCCATGGCGGTGGGCTCAGGCAGCAGAGGCGTTCTGCTGCGGTTCTTTTCCAGGCGTGCCAGAGGCATCCAGTGGAGCGGGGGGTCGGGGGGGCTAGAGCAGACAAGCCAGGGAAAAATGAAATGCAACCACATGGAACCACCAAAGAAAAGGTCGATTCATCAAGAATAGCAAAGCCAGTACCCCACCAACAACCAGCTGACAGGCTGTATAACCCAAAGATATTGTACAGCATGACTTCCAAACATGCCCAGCTTGACACCTAATTACGCTACCACCGACTGCAAACAAAGGTCATTTTTGTTGTGATAGTGTGATAGAAGTTTTTTTTCCTGGTAAATTCTGAAACTATGATTTCATGACGTGCCAGATGTTTTCAGCAGGTGAAAAGCCTGGACAGCCAGACAGGATAGTTTAGCACTTCTACTATGAAGCCATGCTGTTATAATAAATGCAGTATGTGGTTTAGCCTTTACCTGAAAAAGACATAATTTGGACCAGAGCACACTGCACATTCCTCTAAAACCTTTTATATATGGTGCAAACTGTCAATTCCATCAGCACTGATGCAAACTAATGCCATCAGACATGCAGGCGTTTGATCCGAGTGCTGATGGTACCTCTGCTCTTTAGTCCAGAGGATGTTGTGTCCACGTTCTCCAAAAAAGATTTTTGCTTTTCACCACCTTCACCTGACAACATAACAGTTTTTTCGCGTTGTCTCCGTCTATTTCAAATAAGCTTTGTGCCAGAGTAGACAGAGGCATTTCAGAATCATTTTCAAATACGGCTTCTTTTTGCATGATAGAGCTTTAACCTGAATTGTGTGGACGCCAAGTGCGTTCACAGACAGTGATTTATGGGAGTGTTCCTGAGCTTATGCAGTGATTTCCATGACGAATCACATCTGTTTTTCATGCAGTGTTGCCTGAGGGCAGATTTTCAGTCTTGTCCCTTACACACAGAGATTTCTCCATATTCTCTAATAATATACAGAACATAATATGAGATCATCAAAGTCTTTGCATTTTAATTTCAGAACATTATTCAGATTTCTTTTCATAATTTCCAGATACAGTTTTTTACTTTACTGAGAAACTCTGCCTCTTTAAGATGCTCTTTTTATACCCAGTCGTGTTACTGACCCGTTACTATTTAACCTAATTAATTGCAAAATGTTCCTCCAACAGTTTCTTTTTACTTTCCCACCCCTGTCAAAATGTCTCAGTTTAAACAAATATGTTTCCTGTGTCTTCTCACGTATTCAGTATGGGTTTATGGGATTTTCATATTCTTGCATTCTGCCCTTATTTACATTTTCCAGGGTTCTAACTTTTCCAAATTGTGTTTGCCCAATTAGTTAAAAGCCCTTTTGGTGCTCTCTGCCCTTTTTCTTTGACCTTTTCTTACCTGGGAGTGTTTGGAAATTCCTTCAGAGTGACTAGCAGTACGTTGCCCTGCCGATCCTTCAGGGGTTCATAGTAGATCTGGCCCAGGTCCACTGCTCCCAGAGAAGACTGACATCACAGAGGTGGACAAGAGAAACCAAGGATTAAAAAGTATAAGTGCATTGGAGATTAATTCAGCCAAACAGGGGATCTGTGGGCGCAGTTGTGTAGCCGGACAGAGGAAAGCATGGCAAAAATAAGGAAAGGAAGAGGAGGAAGAGATGTAAAGAAGTAATTAAAATAGCAATTAACCCATTTTGGTGCTTCTTATCTTAACAATAAGCTGCTTAACTTCCTACCTGCAGCTGGGAAACAGCTCTTAAAATGTTGTGTCTGTTCTGAAGGAGGGAGGAGGGAGATGAGTGAGCGGAGGAAAGCCCTTGCTGTAGCCAGGGCACTTGCTGCCATGCACAGGACAGCTACAAGAAAAACCGAACACCCAATTTAAGCAGAAAAATCACACTGAGATTCATTTTCTGTAAATATATTTAATATTTATGAATTGTGATCATTCAATTACTTGTACAGTGAGTCAACAAGCTATGTAACAGTTCACCTTGGCAAGCCAAAGGAAGTCTTGGGTGATGGAGGTGGAGCAGCACTGGATCTCCACCAGTGGGATCTGATCTTCGGCTGTGACCAGGATGTTATCCTTGTGGTAGAACACAGTCGCCAAGTACACCCCCCTGACCGGATCAATTTGAGAAAACGCAGATAACGTCAGAAAAAGTGCACACGCTGCTTTCAATTTCACAAGTCACCGCGGACCGCAAAATTACAAGAAACAATAAAAAGCATTGCCTCCGGGGGGAAAGTTTATGGCTGAAAAAGATCAATTTTGTGGCTTGACAGCAATTTATTTTTTGAATCACCCAGTGGATTTTCAAACACTTATTACTGTCAAAGCAGCTTATAATCCCTCAAGTAAAGCAAAAGCACAGAGGCTGGTTTCATAGACCAACATGACAGTCCAGTAGGAAACATGGTCTCTTTTTTTTTAAATTACTCAGGGGTCCAAACACAGTCAACTTCTCTCTGTTCACTACCAAAGTTTTCTTTTTTTTTTTAACCTTCACTGTGGTTCATATTCATGAACATAATCATGCAGCACGATCTTTTGTACTTTGCTAGCTTCTGATGTGGTGAGTGTGGTCGACGGATCGCTTGTGGGAGGATGAAGGATTTATCAGTCACCTGCCACTTGCCACAGTCCAGTGATTACAACCATCGTTCTGTTCAAAAGACCTTTTTACTAACAGCTACAGTGGCTCTAATGTGACTACTGTTCTCTGCAATAACAGTAAGAGATAAGGCTTTTCAACTTTGCAGCCTATGCTGCTCTAATGGGATTGCATTTAATCCATTACTTGTGATACCCTCAGGGCACAGTGGGATAGGTAAGAGAGACTGAGCGCTACCTCTGTAGGAAACGAACAAACTTGGTGGCGGACTGGAACAGTTGTTTGATGCCTCGAGACACTGACAGACGCTTGCTGGGACTCTGGGGCTTCGAGCTCTCTGTGGAGAGGAGGCGAGAAGGATCAGACTGGATGAAATTCATTTTATCTCCCAAAATACATTCACTGTGCACGCACGACACTTGACTGGGTGAAGGCAGGGAAAAGACTTTTCTCTTTGTATTTAAAGGAGCTGACATCTGTAGCGCATGCTGCTGATATAAATGGTGAGAAGTAGAAATAAAATGTTGTCGAGTATGCACATTAAAGGCTTGTGCAAATAATCTGATTTTCTGACTGTTTGCACACATCTTGAACGGAAAACACAGCTACTTTGAACATGTAAACCACCACAGTTAAAGAACACAGAATTAATATTTTCTTTAGATATTAAATACTGGCATGGGACAAAATGTAAGAAAGTCCCTGAACAGGTAGAAACAATAAGCCTAACAACCCCTCAGTATTTGTATAGCGCTTTACTAGTCCCTAAGGACCCCAAAGCGCTTTAAACATCCAGTCATCCACCCATTCACACACACGTGATGGCAAGCTACATTGTAGCCAGAGCTGCCCTGGGACGCACTGACAGACTGACGCCACCGGGCCCTCTGACCACCACCAGTAGGCAACGAGTGAAGTGTCTTGCCCAAGGACACAACGCCCGAGACTGTCCAAGCCGGGGCTCGAACCGGCAACCTTGCGATTACAAGGCGAACTCCCAACTCTTGAGCCACGATCGCCCACTGACGGCTCCTTAAACACATCACAAAACTCCTACATGCAAACTACCCTATCAGTATATAAACAAAATTCAGATAAAGATGTTGTATCTGACAAAACTGACTTCTTGAAATCAATTTTTTTGAGTTCTGGGAGAAAATATGAAAATGTCTATGCTGTCAGGCTAGTAGGGAGCTCTTTCCATTCATTCATAGCGTTACCCTCCTAGGACCTGGCGTCCACATATGTGGACACATTTTGGGTTGTCTAGACCAAAATAGTAAATTTTGCTCTACAAGGGCCTGATATCCACTTACCAGGACATTGTACTGCCACTGTTCTATCGAAATTTAAAATGAATGTCCTCATATGTGGATCTCATTTTTCTCAGCAACAAAAATCAGGTTAAAATAAATAAATAAATTAAATAAATAAAAAAATCAGGTAATTCTTTGTTTTTACATTCATCAGGTCCCAATCAGCCCAAATAGCAAAGAGAAATTAAAAATGCATGCCATGAAAGAGTTTGGGTCTTAGTAGGTTAAATGAAAAAGCAGATTGTGCAAACAACTTTAAGAACAACTTTGCATTCTCTTTTACTATAATTACAAGATGTGTTTCAAATTATTTTTAAAACAACATGAACATCTGAATACCACACGAGATTCTTAAGGCAAGGCTGAAAATACAACACATAAGAATTTCAATAAAAGCTCAATTTTGTGCAAGTATAATTACACACACACAACGGCAACAACATGTGCACTTGGACCCAATGCACCAAAGCATAAAAAAACCAGAGGTCTCACGTTACCTATGCAATATCCTCTAAGATGCGACTCCTTGGCATCTTCCAGCAGCTTCCTCACGAGGGCCTCGTGATTTCTGAGCTGTGACTTTACACCAGCGCACTCTCTCCAACCTGCACAGGACAGGCAGAGAGAAGCAGATTGTGGCTTTCACTTCTATGCAATTAGGAAAATCAGCTAAGACAGCAAGAAATAATTTGCAAGCGACTCCTGAGTGCCGCTTTTTTTTTTTTTTTTTTTATCTTTTGGTGATTAGGAAGCGACAGCGTCTCCATGAGAGACCGTCTGTATGCTGTGAAAGTTGAAATTGAAGTTGATTCATTGTGACTCGCTCTAATCATGTATCTATTTAAGCTGGGGGTCTTTTGCGTGTGTGTGTTTTTAAAGTGAATCTTTATTTATTTATTTAATTTCCGCTCACTTCCATCTCAAGGTTGACAGAATAATTCCTACTGATCTTATACTGGGTCTTAGTGAAGCCCCTCAATCTCAAGGTATTAACAGCAGGCGGATGGGGATTCTGCACCCACCTGTGTGTGTGCATGTTGACATTATATAGTAACGTATAGAAAGAAACTGCCTGAAGCCTGAGTTTTGGGTTCAGAGGGATTTCTTATCATGATTGATATGATATACTGTCTACTGTAACAGCATATGTGACAGAAAATAAGGAAAAGCACAACAAATCTCCTTTACGATAAATTGGGCAATCTATTACACTCTGGCTGTGATTGTTTACTGACCAGTGTTTGCTTTGACATCAATATTTTCAGCCTTTATTCCCCATTACAAATCCTTGCTTGGCAGCTCTGGCTTTTGTTAGAAGTAGAAAGTAAAAGCAAGTAAGCCGAGCGATAGGGGTGGGTGGCGTCCAAGAAAGATTACGAGCCAAAAATTCAAAGTCAAAGCGGCACGGCTGCATGGCCCATTGACTCGTGTTGCCGTCTTTAAGTCTCCACGTTTTAATAACTCATTAATCTACAAGCCACGAGAGGATTGGACTTCTTTCACATCGAGCTTAATGTCAGCTAAGTAATTCTATTACACTGGGACAAAGAGGGAAAGAATGGAGCTCTTTCGAAGCTTCAAAATCCACATTCATCAAAGTTGTGTAGTTCTGCACACTCACTGGAGGGGGCAGCGCTGGCTGGAGTGGAGCACTGAGGCGGGCCCCATCCTTTCACGTTGTAGGCGCTCACTCTCACGAAGTAATGCACTCCCTGTGTTTGGAGAAACAGCAGACCTGCCAAATTATCACCGAGCATTAACCAAGAAGCCATACGGCGCTCTCATTATTAATTCATCTGGTTAAAGTGAGCCTGCTGATAAGTGTACTCTTATGAGAGGTGGTTCAGTGCAGAAGATAGTGATGGAGGAGCAATAAACACAGTGTGTGTGGGTGCAGAGCTGCAGCACGTGTTTTATACCCGTCTGCTTGATTATGTGCCTCTGAGAAATTACAGGTGTCAGTTTCTGTGCGTGTCTGCACCATCTGTGCATTTGCAGCTGTTATCTGTGGTTGTGAATACGTGTGACTGTGGGCGACTTACTGCCGTCAGCCCCTTGATAACGTAGGAGGGGTTCTTGGTCTCTATAACTTGGGCCGTGCCGAGGATGCGTTTGAAGCTGGCCGAGGTGCTCCATTCGACTGTGAATGCAAAACAATCCCACAGATAGATTATTCTCTGGCTTTGCTCAAAACCCCTCGTGAGGGATAACTTAAGGACGTGAGTGTTTACAGGTTTAGGAACTTGCTGCATCTGGGCTTAATCTATTCTTGGCCGCGAAGCATGACATTTATACGTCTATAAAACCGACCAGCAAAAACAGCCCAAACTAGATACTGTGTCAGCCGGCTTAAATTACTTTCAAGACTTTGATTAAATTGCACCAGTAAAGTCTATACTCCATTAATTTCCTTATCTATCCATCATGAATCGATCCATTTTCTGCCCCACATCTAACTGACCCTTTTATCTACCCATCCATTCAACCAATCCTCCATGAAAGTCTTCTTGCCTGGTTCTCTCCCTACCTCTGTAGCGGGTGATGAGCCCCACCGTGTCCCCCTCTGGCTCTTTGATTGTCACAAACAGAGAGGATGTGCTCGTCACCAGGATGGACACATGACTGGGGGAGCCCGGGAGCTCTGCGTGGAACATTGAAAAGATAAAAATCGGGTTAAAATGAGCACGAGTAAATAACAGAACAAATGCAGACAGCCAAAGTACTGCACTGAGTTTTACAGAATATCACACTGCAGTAAACTTGATGACAAAAAAACACACACAAATAAACTCTGGAAAAGTTATCACATCCAACAGATATCACTGATAACCACTAGTATATTTGTCCTCTATCTTAGAAAGACTACATATTATTTTACACTAGCTCAGCTAAGGTTTTCTTAAATAGGTGATCACGGCAACCACAGACTGATGTCTGACCTCGGCCTATGGTGAGGTCAGACATCAGTCACACACTAACAGAAAAGGAGATAGATACAGTAATGGCTATTATTCTCTTAAACATAAAAGCTATTTCTCCATGGCTTTTATTCCCACACTGGTGCTTTTTAGCACCACAACCAAGCATTTAATCTTTAACCATCTGACTGGGTTTGCCAACAGTTAAAGAAAGGTTAAAAACGAGCACTGCATTAGCAGCTGGCTACTGAAAAATGATATGCAATCAGACTGTTCCAGACTGATGTCAACCCTGCAGGGCCAACTGTACCATAGACAGACTTTATTAATCCCACACTGGGGAAATTCACATGTTACAGCAGCACAAGGGCCAACAAGACAAGGTGAATTAAACTGTATTAAAAACAGAAAAATAAATAGATTAGAAAAAAAAAACTATTTTTACTGCTTCTACTATCTACAAATGGTTGCTGTATGCAGTAAATACACTTACAAAGTTTGTGTATTTGTGCGCTATTTATTTACATCATCAGTGGAAATCTTTCTCCTGAAAAACCTAAATAAATTGCACAAAAACACCAGATTTTGTGAAAAATGATGCTTGAATAAACATTCCAGATTCAAAAACTTTGAATTTCGGGGCCATTATTTCATGGCTCAGGCTTTACAGGGTTGAAAATTGTATTCCCTGCAGACTCTGTGTTGTTTCAAGACAATCTTGGAGCTTTTTATTATCACAATTGTACTTTAAAACGTTGCCAGAGTTTGATGATTAAATCTAATTGTGTTTCCGTTTCTTCAGCCTAAGATGTAATCTTGAGTGAAAACATTACCATAAGTAAGTCACAGTCGTCAGACAAAAACACATCCATATTTTATATTTAAAGATGCCATCCGGCTCTCCTACCCAGCGAGATTTACAATAAGAGTGAGTTTAATTTCACTGCACATGAAAACAAGCGCCGGGGCCTCGCTGCCCTTACAATAACGCTGCGATAATAAAACAGTCAGAGAGAGAATTGACTGTGCTTGAAAGAGAAATGAAACGAGAGCTAAGGAGAGATGTTTATAAAGAGCTGTTAAAATTGGTACAGCGGGGAACATTGCAATATACATCTGAAAAAAATAAGACAAAAAAAAATTAGCCCAACAGAGAGCCAAGAGGAAAAGGCTTGAACAGGTGGTGCAGAGGATGGTAAGTTGCCCGATGCGTCGACGCGTGATACGCCGAAGTCTTGAAGGTTTTTGCACGTGTGAATTTCTACTGAAATCTACAGCTGTGAGGGTTTATTTGATACAGGCAGCCAGTGGAGGGAGTGCAGGGAAGGAGAGGATTTGAAAGGCTGATGACACGGCAGTCTGCTGAATGTTGGATGAGATGAAAGAGGCTAGAGGGAGAGTTTTAGTAAAACTTAAGCAAGATGTTGAGTTGAAGACTTGATCACTGCCGTCTTGTCAGCAGTGGCGGGTGGCTTTGTAGAGTTAAATTGGCAGGAAAGTACTGCGCTGGCTGCAGAAAAAGTTTTATTATGAGAGCAGAAATAAAGAATGAGGGGGAAAAACGAGCGAGAGTTCACTGAAAACAGAAAGAAAACTGATCTGAGTTTGAGTGCTAAGCAGCAAAACAGTGAAATACCACAAGCTGACCGCTGACCTGTGTTCTGGAAGTTCTCTCTCATCCGATAGTACAGCTGCTGCCGCAGCCTCCAGAGCTGGATGTGCCTCTGAAGATCAGCCTGTGCCTGAGGGCCTGCCCCGGCCTTTTTCGCTAACTCCGTCTTCCTCTCTTCTGTCCGTTTATCTGCCAAGGCCACCAGAGCGTCCAGCTTGAGTGCCCACTCCGCTGGTCGGCACACTGAGAGGCACAGGACGAGCACGCGGAGCAAGACAAAGGGCATAATCTGAATTAAAGTCAAGCCGTACAGAATCTGATTTTACACCATTACTTTTGACATTTTACATGAAAAGACTTACAAACAGGGTTGTGTCTGGCTCCTGCCTTTGTCAGTACATGAAGCAGCGGGGAATTGTGGGTAAGGGCAGCCACATCCAGGGGGACCAGCCCCTGTTCACTCACTCTGTTCACCCCTTTCTCCCGGTCCCTCTCCCAGTCCCTCTCTTTTTTCTCTCCTTTCTCCCATACGCCTCCGCCTCCTCCACCGCTGCTGCGGTCTCTGGACAGAAGGCTTTGTACAGCCAGTGTATCCTCATTTTCCACTGCCTCCCACAGGGTCTTGTACTAATGGGGAGCAGGAGAAAGGGTGCAGGGCCGCGGGAGGGTAGGCAGGTGGAGGAACGAGATAGAGAAAGAGAAAGAGGGTTAAGAAGGATAGAGAGATTTATTTCCCGCAGTAAAGAGAAGGGAGCGTTAAAAGGGAGAATGATATCAGACACAAATCAAATCATAAACCAAAGGTGCCTCGACTGATGCTTTATACAGGAGCCTCCTGAGACCAGGAAAGTTTGTGAATTGCTCTTATTATTATATGAAGCAGCAGCAGGAGCAGCTCTATATAACAGAGGGTGCTTGAGAGTGATTTCCTTTTCTGAAAGCATTTTTTTCCCAGTGTAATGTAATGCCCTGTGTAGTGGACGTTAGGGAATTTCTCAATAAAATAAAAGAAGACTGGAAAATTTTAATGCTGAACTTCAAGAATTCAGTTTTTTTGGTTTGGTTTGAATTTTTTTTTAAAAAGCAGATGTTAAAACTATAAAATTCTACCTGCACACACAGTGTTTTTGACACATACTCAACAAGCTCAAAAATATTTGAAAGGGACCTGGGAGATCAAACTATGAGCAACTGCCAGTGTGTGTCAGGGCTGTGAGCCAATCAAGAAAATCAATTAACCAATCCCTAAATAAACTAATCGCAAGCTTCAGGTAACTGCCCATGCACTGCATACATGACAACGCATGCACAGTTCACAGTTCAAAGTAATCAGCCGTTACTATATATTTAGCCTTTGTGCAGCCGCTCGGTTCGTAAATAGAAGGGATGAAGAGCAGACGTTGCGGGCTTCTGCGCTCACAGCTATAGCTGTGTGCCTCTCTTTGTGCCGCCACACAGAGCCAGTAACAGAAAGAGAAATGTGTTTTAAAATACCCAACCAGAGGCTATTTCTGCAAGAGGTTTCCTCCTGTTAAAAGGGAGTTTTTCCTTTCCACTGTCGCCAAGTGTTTGCTCATAGTCGTTTCATTGTTGGGGTATTTTCTGTATTGTTGTTACATCACAATGTAAAGCACCTTAAAGCAACTGTTGTTGCGATTTGGAGCTATGTAAATAAAATTGAATTGAACTGAATTAAAAAGAGGGTATTTGCAGAGATTTGGGTTCACAGGGATTACTTACACATATGCTGACCACAACCACGTTTAGTGTGTGAATCTACCATTTAATATATGAATAACATATATGACAGGAAATAAGATAAACCGAATAGGTCGGCTTTAAAGCTTACAATGCTTTGTCACAGAGGACTGATTTATTTTCTGAAACTAGCTTTGATTTTTTTTTTTATCTCTTGCTCCCATAAAATGTGGCTGTCAAACTACAGTAGGAGTCAGTTTGACGATGGTGACAGCCTCACACGTGAGACATCTAACAATGAGTCTGCTCGCCTATTGGAATACCCTTGAGAGACACGTGTCCACAAAATGTATTGTCAGGTCTCAGGAGGTTAGTGACACAGAGATAGCGTGTAATGTCAAGTAGAGATCTCATAGTTTTTAACCATAACAGAAACCAAGGCAGATGACATTTCAGTCAACGTGACCAAAGCTCCCTTTCAGAATGACACCTGGATATCTTACAGCATCTGCAGACTTGCTGGGGCGTTTAGGCGCATCCAAGTCGGCGGCAACAGATGACTCTCCACCCCCCCTGAGTCTGAAGGACAGGTTTCTGTAGATGCGTTTGGGCGAGACGGGACCTAGAGAGCGCCGGCGCTGTGGTGGGTTCCTCATGGATACAGACATGACAAGAGAAGAAAGTAAAGGTCTGAAAGAGGACAGGCGAGAGCAGGAGAGGATGTGAGCTACGGGGGAACAGGGGATGGTTGAAGAAAAGGTTGGAGAGATAGTGTGAAAGGCTGGAGGGGAAAAAAAGAGTTTAAGAGTCCAGCTTTAGAGCCAGATAGAGAGGAGAGAGTAGTAAAAGATAAAAGTCAGTGGAAACCTTGATTAAAGAATAAGGTGAGAAATACAAAGAGGGAAACAAAAGAAGAACACACAGTCAGACTTCAATGTTACAGAAAAAAATTGATGCTGACTTGAAGTACTGAGCAAAAGTACTTGTGTTGTGTGGGTGGATAAATGGATAAGAGTTACTATTCCTGTACAGACTAGATGAAAATGCCTCGAAGCATTTATTTTTGTGCCTTGCACTATTCTCCCCTTTGTTCATCTTTTTTACCCACGATTATGTGACACGGTTTTATTCATTCTGAATGGAGTTTTCCAGCACGCGAGGCAACAGACGCATCAATCTAATTAGTGGAAGAATGGAAGGCCAGATCGCATGGAAGAGCCAGGATTCTTTCCTGCTAATAAACTCGAATCCGCTCCCATCATCCGCATGAAGATGAAAATCCATCACCACCGCTGTAATGATGGTTCATTATCAATTCCATTGGCTTTGCATCATTACAGTCAGTCACTTTTTTGTGCATGAAAATCTGTCTTGCAGTTTTTTGTTTTTAACTTTGGGCACCGTCTGAAATTCCCCCTCCTCTTCACTCAGCAGGTCGTTTTCAGTGCCACTTTCTGTCTATCCTCTCTTTTCACCGCCCTCCAGGTTAAAACTGATCTCGGTGCCGTTTTGATTTGCATCGCTGTCCTGAGCTTATGATATCAAAAGCATCTTTGTGAAAGCGAGACACTCAGACCCAGGGCTGAGCATTGGTGGCTGTCCTTGTCTGAAAGCAAATACTCCCCTGGTTGGTGCTACGGGAGGACAACACCTGGGGCCTTTGACCACGATGACATCTGAGTGACACGTCACGTCGCACATCACAGCTCGCACAGTACCTGCACTGTCTATATACATGGATGCGGGACTATAGGGGTAAAAGCAGCTACTGTTGTTGGTACAGTTTCCCCAGTTTGTTTACTGTGCCTTACATCAGCTATGGAAAGTGCTGAGGAGTCATTTAGAGAGCCGTAGTGTTTGTTTGCGTTTTCTTTTCCTTCTACTTTTTTCTTGAGTCTGCCTGAAGATAAGGCAAAACAAGAAAAAGTGTTTGCACATGTTCAACCTGCAGTCTAGCAAACAGCGGTTATGTAAGCAGGCTAGAGAGTAAGATGCTCCAGTCTGACCATAAACAGAAAGTATACAGTAGATTCACTGTGGTTTTATTTCATGTCTCAAACTGGGGGGTTTTTCTTACCTCTCTGTACTGTGGCCAAGAGAGCAGAGTGTGCTGCATATTTTGCAAAAGTCTTTCCGGTTTGTGAGTTTGCTGTGGCTGTATGGAAACATTTGATGACTAACATTTCAGATCCCCCAGGAAGTAATGCAACATATTTGCCTGGGTCTTCAGTACTTCCACTCCACCAGGTTGACTGGTGGAGCGGAAGTACTTCACAACTAGGGGATCAGACTGGGACACATGAATTTGTACGAATGAGGCACAAAGAGTTTCAGTTTAAGGGCTGTTGTTAAAACATGACTTCACTTTGTGCCTGCACACTGAAGTTATATGTGCTTCTCTGATTATTCAGCAGCAGGACAAATTAAAATGAACATAAACGATCTTACAGGCTGTTTCAGAGTAAAAGTTTCAATTTGAAAACAGTAACAGAAGGCAAGCCTATTTTGGTCTATTTTGAGAAAATTTATAGGTCTTATTAAAATAAAACTTTAAATATATGTATAAAAAACTTTGCTATATCATATCTAACCAACAGGTGACGCAATGTATGCCACATTATAGCCACAAAAACAGCACAAATGATCAAACATCCAAAGTTTAAGTTCCCGTTTCACCGAGTTAAAAACATAACTGAGTTTTCGGTCTCTTACCGTCACAGAGGACTTTAACGGCTTTAATCGGGCTTTCCTCCGACTCTGCCGCGATGCTTCAACATATTTCACTGTATTTTCATAAATGACTGCCTGCTGATATCTTATAATCCATGGTAGCGGTTTCGGAAAGTTTTCACCTCTGAATGAGGATGAAGCGCACCTGAGCGCTACAGACGAGAGACAGACCGGCGAGCCTTCCACAGCCGACGCACACGCACATTTTCCCCGTTCCGCCCACTTCCGATCTGCGATCATTTCTCTGAACCAAACTTTTTTTTCTCCTTTTTTTGAGAACATATTTAGAAGCAGTGCTGCGTCATAAAAACACTGATAGGTTTACACGAAGTGGCCCGTTTATTTATTTGAATATTTATTTGTAGTAAATGAGCTCAGTAACAATATAATGATCCAGTGCTGTGGTTTAAACACTCTGTTTAAGTTTACCGGGTGATGAGGTAGCGCAGATCCTTGAGTAGATAATCCTAGCCAGTGTATTGCTGTGAGCAGTCAGTGAATTGATGATCCCAGCCACTACTGAAAATAAAAATTGTTACTCTAAAAGTTGTTGCCTCTGTGTAACAGCGTGTTGCAGTGCAAGGAAGCTGGTGATATGATCAAGCGTAGGCTGAAGATAATGGACAAATGTATAGAGCTATTTTTGGATTACCACAACACCCCCATTAATGGCTTTCGCAGGGGCAGAGGAAGTGGTTCGAGCCAAGGGAAAGAAAGGCCAGGCAACGGTGTGAAAACTGTTCTTATGCTATGCCCCCCCCACTTGTGCTCAGAAAGGAGAAAGGAATTGTTTCCAAACCATTTGTCTTCGCCCTGAACCGCCCCCTTGAAGTAAATGTAAAGCAGTTGTCAAATAAAGTTGACAGATTATGCATCCTGTTTACCCGAGCAGCGAGAAAGGCTCTCCTTCTCTTTGTGTTATATTTACCTCTCTCAGGGGGCAAATAAAAAGCCACAGACTGATGGATTTAGCTCCTGTCCTGGCACAAATTTATAAACCGATATCTTGTCTGACTCTTCTCAGTCAACCAGAAGAAACAAAACCTTCTGACCACTTCCTGCACACACACACAGTCCCAGCGCAGTAGCTACACTTCGCCTAAAATATGTTTGCTGGAGCGCAGCACATTTGTCAAAGGTTACATATATTGCACACTCATTTACACCGTCACTGAGAGACAGAAGCGCGGAGTGCTGAGCTGGCCACACGTGTGATGCTTTGATGCGCACTGAACTCTGCTTAAAGAGAAGCAGAGGGAGATTATAAATCGACATGTCGGTAGTAGCTGATACTCGCCCCCACACACCTATCATCACACAGTGGCTCAGTTACCCAGAGGCTTTTGTTGTCATGGTGATAACCAAATTGTGGCCTTCACAGCTAAATGATACTCAGACACACGTCTCAGCATAACGATCAGCTAAGATATTCCTTGGAGGGTAAATTGGTGTTGATATATAATTGTGAGGCTAATTGTGCATGGATTTGCTCAAACATACACCATCAGGCTTCCTTTGAATGTTAGAGACTGTTGATTTGATTGGACTTTTAATATTAGAGCAGTACAATGTACTGAGCTCCAATGTTCATCAGCAAGAAATATGGGACCTAAGCAGCTGTTTCATGTGATTTTATGTTAAAAACAAACAAAAAAAAAAAAAACCAAGCATGAGTGTAATGATGAGGCAAGCATTTCCCATATGTACACGAAACTGAAAAGTTCCAATAACTGCAGCAAAAATGATCATAGCATTTCAGATAATTATCATTATTTGCCAGAACATTATCTTCATGCACTATTGTTCAACACATGGATCTTTCTAGTAAAAAAAGTGAAATAACAACCAGAAAAAAATGCTTGTATCTTATCTTTTTTTTCATACATTTACATTTAAGTTATTCATATATATTCATAGTTTACAACTATGGTCATGCACTGGAACTATTCCAGAGTTGTTTCATTTGCATTTTTATTATCATACACATTTAAAGATACCAGATAAATCCATTAGATCATCAGCTCTTTTTGTGGTTTTTAAATAAGGGAGGTTACCTTTCAACATAACACTTGCTAATATGAGTAAAACCACTCTTAAAGATATTAATATATTGTCCTGTGTTATCTTTTTGTCAGAATTTGGCCTTTTTTTGTTTATTTTAAAACCAACACTTAATGTTAAGGTAAATTTTGAAGGAGGCTTCACAGGAGAATTTAGTTATTTAATAAATATACATCTTAAGTTTTTGTATCATATATTTGTTTATAAATATCTATTTTTATAGTATCATTATAATATTAAAATGTTTTACATTATAAATGCAGTTTTTATTAGTACAACAGTGTTTGGAATTATTTTGGTAACCTACTGTACTGTAATGTTCAATAAAGTTTGGGGTTTTGACTTTAGCCATCATTTCTGCACAGTTCTCGTCTGATATATATTGTCTGCAAAGGTTAGTTAACGGTTTATTACACATATTTTGTGGTTATTAGAGTTTGTCAATAGCATTTGTTTTAATAGAAATCTTCAAAAACATCTGTTTTTAAGGAAAATCATGACTAGTTAAGTTATAAATTAACTCTAGCTAGTGCTAATAATATAATTAGCATGTAGCGCTAGGTAATTTATAACTTAGCTAGCCATAATTTTACTTAAAAACAGATGTTTTTGAAGGTTTTAAGAGAAATCTTCAAAAACATCTGTTTTTAAGGATATTATGGCTAGCTAAGTCACAAATTAACTTTAGCTAGTGCTAATATTATAGTTAGCATGTAGCGCTAGGTAATACAATAGCTTGCTAGCACTCTTGCTCGCCTGCAGTTTTGTATAAAAAGCTGTTGTGGTCTTTCTGTCTGAACAGGCGAAACAAACAGAATGACAAGCAGGGATATAGTTTGCAACAAGATCCACTTCAGACATGACCCAAAGTGGAGTAGGCGCCTTGGGCCTGTGGAGGGAGGCGGGCTGCTGCTCTGTGTGGCCTGCCTCATTGAAATGATTGACGATGAAGACATAGCAGTGAGAAGAAATATATTTATATACATCTCCATGTTATAGCTGTTTACTGTGACTTTACATTCTCTTGCACAACCTTTAGGAAGGATTGGGAAATGTGTATGAAAATTGCATTATGCTGTTAATTTCCCTTGATGCTCAGCTGGAGCTTTATTTACCCTCCTATATCTCTCCTCCTACACGCTTGTCTGTGGGATGCAGTCTGTGAGGAAGTCTTCTGCCTTGTCCAGTGTAAGTGGAGTGCTGAAGTGTTCTCCGGGGGCTTTGAGAGAGCTGCTCCAACAGGACCACAGAGTCTGTCTGCATTTTACAGCCAAACTATTGGGTGAGAAATAGTAACACATGCAGCAGATTAGAAACAGAAGGAATGTCTAGCAAGGGCGATTGTGAAGCGCTGGACTTTCACCTCTCACTTGCTATCTCTCTAAAGGTGCAAACAGTTTTATGCTAGGTAGGAAAAATCAGACTGGAATGCACTTAGAAAACAAGGAGCATCAACAGTACTATTGCAGTGCACAGACCTTCAGTCAGTACTGACAGTCCTAACCATCACTGGCAAACTGTTTTCTCACTAGCTCGAGCTTGATTGTTTAACATTTGCACTCCGAAGCTAATCACCACTGGGTTAGTCCACTGTTGTATTGGTGGTGCAGTCACATTACAGCTTTTCTGCAAGGTCAGGCTGAACAGAGAGAACAATTGATCTTAGCAATCAACCAGAACACGATACAGAAATATTCACACTACTGGACATAATAGTTTTTGCGTTGATTTCATAAAAAAAAAAAAAAGATCCACGCTGATAATGCAGTTAACCTTGAGTTTACTACTTTTCTTTTCTTTGGAGAGGTGTGCTTGGTAGTGTGATTAAACCATTATACTGATTTGTGACTTTGATGTGATGCAGTAATTTGGGCCTTAATTAAGTGCTGTATATGTAACTGATTTTCATTTTTAATGACAGCCACATTAAATCTCATTTCATAGATGGAATCATCAAACTAAGTAGCCACCAAAAAAAAGATCACTAGCATGGGCTGCAGGCTAGTGGACAGCTTTGCTTTTAACTATGACGGGGATTGGGACCCACACCCAGTTTCATACCTTGCTCAGGCAATTAGAGGATCATCAGGGGGTCCTTTTGTCCCTCTGTGGGGGGATACTCCCACTAGGTTTATATCTGGGACTCTCCACCATTTCACCTTAGAACTGAAGAAGCTTCTCGCATGAGAGGTGAAACGTCTTCAAGTAACTTAAAGAAGTCCAGACGCTTTTCTTTGCAAGCTCCTTTGACTAACTATGACGGGGTTTCTGAAATTATTTCTGAAATGTTTGATTTAAAGACACAAAATACGAGCTATTAACAAAAGTATAAAACATATAAAACTATCAAGACTTTCATTATTTGTGATTTCTTGTTTGCATTTAAGTTGTAGCGTAAGTTATTTCGACTCCTGTACCGTGAATAATTCTCTGTGTCAACATATCGGATGACATGACAGCAATAATTTTTGAGGATCTTTAAATATGGAATGAGTTGCCGTGCCGTGAAAATCCCAGTGGAGCCAGTAAGACTGTTAATATATAGACCTGCATTGTGTTTCATTATTCTCACAACACTAAATTACTGACTCCTCTATTGCAAATGTTACACTGCTATAATTGAACCTCTGTATGTTTTTTTAATGCTAGATCATCCGAGGGTTTTATTGATAACTTCCTCATTGGAGGATTATTAGGTTGCCGCATTAAGTGCTATGTTGAAACCATTTAAGCTCTAATCAAATTAGCACAATAAGAGGATGTGTGGCAAAATGCTAAGCCATAAAAGCTCTGACCAATCTGACAAGACGTTAAAAGAGCTATTAGAGTTCTTGTGGGATTGTCTGGATGAATTGTGCTTCTCCATCTGAGCATAATCCAATAAAAATATGTCTTACATTCATCACTACACTGAGTTGGTTTCCTTTAACATGCTTTTAAGATAGTACTTTATCTTGGATGTCCAGCAAAGCTAATGCAAGGTAGAGTACCCTGTACAGTATGATCCAATAGATCTTTATTAGCATGAAGCCCCATCTAATGTCTCTGTAATTTGTATTTTCTATTTTGTCCTATTTCATCCTTTTTTTTTTGCATAATGACATTAAATTTCTTCCTCCTGTACTTCTGTGTAGAAGCAAGAGT